TTCTCCACATTGTGGAAGAATACCTTTTTGATGGACCCGTAGAGGAAACTAAATGATCATGGGGATCTCGGCGCGTGACCGCAGTGCCTAACGGATAACTGTATGAGGCTAGTCGCTTAGGACCTTACTGTGAGGAGTTTCTGATATGTAAGCTTCGTGCTTCAAAAGAACAAATCTTCAGGGACGGAAAACTATGGGGTAAGTTGAGGTGTTACAGTTTTGGCCTAAGACCATTTCTAACCCTTTCCGCGTGTTGTAAGAAGGCAGGATCGTTGCCGATGCTGATTGTCACATCTCAGCACAAGTCAGTAGTACAACTTTGTTCTTGAGTCATGAGTTTGCTTCTCTTAGTCTTACATGTTCCATAAATGGCTCGCCTGGTATGATAGGACTTAAAGAAACGTTTGTTCTAGCTCTATCGGATCATTAAGGTAGATAAGCCCAATCTCTACGTCAAAGTGGAAGCTACGATCGGTGAGGTCAACACTACTTTGCTAAAAAAAACTCATCTGTCCAACAACGTCTAAGTAATCAAATTTCCACAAAACCATCAACTTATTCACTTTGCATAAACAATCGTAGTCTCATAAATTGCTTATTAATTGTATTTGTCAATTTATTAAAACCAGGGAATGAATATAATCAGTTATTTTAATAGTGGGTAACATTTCAATCCACACACTTTATGTATTTACTATTTTCTTTAAGATTTGATTGTATTAATCCATTCAACTTCTTTTGAAAGGAATCAGATTAGTGTATTAGAGCTGAAAAAATGATAATTTATGCAGCTGATAGATTATCCGAACTTAAGTATGTCTCTGAACTAATTAGTTGATACGCAATAGGAACGAATAGAAAATTTTACACTAACTAAACTATGATTGTTATGTCTTGTTTTTTATTCAATCTAGTTACTTCAGTTGGTTAGTATTCATCAGGCGCTCTACTCCACTCGACTAGTATCCATATCAGAATACAGCTTAAATAAAAACATAATTATATTCGATAACAAAACAGCAAATTAACTAATTGGAGATTACAACAAGAAAAAATATTAGTATATATTTATAATTTTCATACAGGAAGGTTATCGTGTTTTCTCCATTTATCTACTAGCGCTGATTGGCTATAAAAAAATAGGCCAATCAACGTATCCTGATGTAATTCCATATGGAACATTCTTGAATCTGATCCATGTCCTGCTAACCACAATGAAGAATAGTTATTGAAAATATACGTTTATGTTCATAATTTAAGTATTACTGCTGGTAAACTGATTAATCTTAACTCCCAAAAACTCTAAACAACTTAGAAATATTCATAGATAATTCATCCAACTTTGGAATTCTTCAACAGTTTAGAGCTATAATTCTCTATTAAATTGAGCTAAAAAATCATCATTTCGTTCATTCAACAAAATAGCAGCGTAAAAAGATTTCAATTGACAAGCCTGTTTTTAAAATTATTGGGTATTTCCATGTCTCATATTTGTTTGTTTTTTAGTTATTGATTATCTACAACTTAAATTAGGATATAAGTATCCCTGAAAGTCGGTTACAGATCTCTTAGAATCCAAAATGTAACTGTTCAATGATTATTCTTGTTACAAAGTTTCCCCTTCCATTTTAAACATTTTTGTCATATCTTAATATCATTTGAACTAATAGTGTATCACTGGTTGAAATCATGAGTCAATCGAAGTTAGACCATCATGGAAAACCTGGGAGCACCGAACGGCCGTCTCGTTCTGGCAGGGGACTCCCCAGCAGTGCGCATCCATGACCCCGCCCCCCGCGAGATTCGAACCCAGGACCTACTGGCTTTGCGCGCGAGCACTTAACCATTCGACCACTGAGCCGGCACCCAACGGTGTTAGTGTCTAACTTCAACCAATCCACCAAGTTGCGCCATCGTACACCATTGTCTTCAGTGAGTTGATATCTCACAACAAACCTGGTTGAACTCCACTGGTAACGACTTCTCACTAGAACTCTAGGAGTGTCTCCTGAAGTCAGTCACTAGTAAGCAGGTGATTATTATTATCAGAATGGGTTTTGTGGAGATGTTTAGAAATTCCACAGATTGAAATCATGAGTCAATTGAAGCTAGAACACCATGGATCCCGCGGGGTGCTGGATCTTGGACGCGCACTGCTGAGGAGTCCCGTACCAGGACGAAACGGCCGTTCAGTGCTTCCAGGTTTTCCATGATGGCCTAGCTTCGATTGACTCATGATTTCAACCAGTGAAATTTCTAAAAATCTCCACAAAACCCATTCTGATAATAATAGTCTATCAGTTTAAAAATCCCCATAGAATATTCAAAACTGAAGAACATTTGAGCGAACAATCGTTTTAAATAACTTCATCATCAGGCTCTACAGTTATAAATCCATAATTATAATATTTTACGAAGTCCAAAAAATAAGGCAAGTGTTAATGAATTTGACAATGTTACGTGTTAAAATTGGTAAACGTTTGCATCCATATACTTCAAGATTGTATTATTTGACAAATTAGAAAGGTCATTCAATAAAGGTCAGAATGATTTGGAGTAAAGTGTTCAGTCACCATAAGTATAATAGTATTATAGCAAAAATGAAAATGCAAAAAAATTGTATGAATAAAATGCATAGTAGAAGAATTTGATCTTGTCAATTGAGATAATAATAATAAGATTGTTGTGTGAATATAATATGTAATAAGGAGGATGTTATCAAGGTAATTACGATAAACGATTCGGGAATGATCGATGTGAAGATTAAGATAGAGATAATAAAAAATATTGATAATAAGGAAAAAATAAAGGAAGGGAGTAAGGGTTTATAATATTCAGTCTAGGTATTCGGTGGTCCAGTCGTAGGCCAAGGTAAACCTAGAGGCTGGATATATTTTTTCTGGATACGTAAATTTGGTCTTCTGGAATCGATGCAGATAGCTTCGGCTATGTAAAACAGTCGTAATCTAGCCCCTTGAGGTAGATATTTTGGAACTTGATATAAAACAGAGAAAGCTTCCTCTATTTCGATATGATGTTCACTATCTACCAAGTGAGAAAGAATGGTACTGTTAATCGATTTGGTAACTCGTTTTCCCAACCATGCTGGTACAGGTTCACGAACACGCAAGGATAAAGCCCTCTGAGCACGTCCTATGTAACTAGCTTCACAGGAGCAGTTGAATTGCTATACATACATGGAAGAGCCCATCTTCGGTGACCTATCCTTGATTAGTTGTGTGAGTACTGGTTTAGTCGAGAAAAATATGTGTAACTTGGCGGTATGAAACGTCCTTTCGACAGATCTTTTGAGTCGACGTGTTAGAATATCACCCGCTATGTCCACTTTAAAGTTAAGTCTCAGGTATAAGGTCTTTTTACTGACTGTGTCGCAATGTCTCCTTTTTTTAGTACTTTGTACGAGGTATTTTTTTGATGAAATTGTCGGGATAGCCATTATTTCGTAATGTGTTCTTAAGTATATCTATTTGGTCATCTACACTGTCTTCAGAATATAATAACTTTATTCTGTGGTTGAGACATTTAACCAAATTTATTTTATATTGAAGAGGTGTGAAGCTTTGGAAATGGGTATATTGACCCGTCTATCTTTCTAGAAAGTAGGACATCTAAAAAAGCCATACTATTGTCTCTCTCCTCTTTGCTGGTGTATTTAATGGTTGGGTGGAAATTATTGAAACAGTCCAACATCTGTTGTCGATATTTTTGTCACATGATTAGTGTGTCATCTATGTATCGACAGTAATAACCAAGCTTACTTAGGATTTCTTTAAGCGGTCCATTTTCTAGTTTGGTCAGAAAAATATTAGCAAGGATCGGGCCTAGAGGTGATACCATTGCTACCCCATCTACTTGTCTGAAAAATTCATTGTTAAACTTAAAGTAGATACTCATAGTGCATTTCAACAGAAGTTCTCTCTTTTTACTTACTGGGATCGGTATCTCTATTTTCTTTTCTAGCAATTGTTCACATATATAATCTATACTTTCAGTCAGAGGGATGTTAGTGAGCAAAGATGTTACGTTTAGTGATAACATATTTTGCCATTTATATTCATATTTTTCATTATATCCACAAATTCAAAGACGTCTTTAACACTATGCTTAACCAGTTCTTGGTGCAGTGGTTCTAATAATTTAACTATCCATTTTGCTGTTAAATGCTATTGTGAGTTTGCCATATCCAGTATCGGGCGTAAAGGACATCAGGTTTATGAATCTTAGGTGGACCATATAGTCGAGGGGTATGTGTTCCCGAAGGCTTGAGCGCATTATAGGTATGCTCAGTGATGTATTGATGTTGTTTTCAAAAATTTTAATGCTGCAGTTAGTTGACGTTCGGTCTTTTCATTGAGGTCTTTACATGACCCAAGCTTTTGGAATTTGGTTTGATCTATGTAACCTGTCTTGTTTAGAATTACAGTGCAACTATTCTACTTATTGTGACTGAACACTTTACTCCAAATCGTCCTGACCTTTATTGAATGACCTTTCTAATTTGTCAAATAATACAATTTTGAAGTATATAGATATATATCGTAACAGATGCAGACATTCACCATTTTTAACATATAACATTGTCAAATTCATTAACACTTGCCTTATTTTTGACCTTTGTAAAAATATCACAATAACTGTAGAGCCTGATAATAATGTATCATTTACAAATATAGCCTACTGTGAAAAAGATAGTAGTATCTTACAAATTAAATTGAGTGAATTGTTTACCTTAGACTCTTTAAATAATGCATGGAATTAGTAAATTTAATGTTTATTCATAATAATATAATGTCTAATCGACGTTAATAAGTTGTAAACATTCAATGTGTTTCTTTCTTGATTATATACAAAATATCGTCAAGGCTCCTATACACAATCACTTCAAACAAAATGAAGATAAAATTACAAAAATAAACTTTCTGCTTATAGTAGTCACCAATGAATTTTTATCAATATAATCTTTTTATTCTATTCCTTAGGCTGTATGTTGCAGTGATGGAGAACACTGTTGTCCTGAAGGTTATGTATGTGATTTATCTGTTGGAGAGTGTATAAATCGTTCTAAATCATCAAATGAATTGAAAAAGTTTTTACCAAACATTAATTTATCATCATTACCAACAAAAATTGGTTATAATAATCGTTGTCCTAACAGTGATGTTTATTGTGAAGATAATTCAACTTGTTGTGAACATGATAAGGAATGGGGTTGTTGCTTGTTCTCAAATGTAATTTTATTATATTACAATGTATAAATATTCTTTTGCTTAAATCTCAAGATTTTAAATTCAATCCTTTAAGTTAACTCATAGATAATTATTGCTTGAAACTTTCAATATTATGCGATAGTTTCAGTTGTCTTCAATTTAGATTGGATACAAATTTTTATATGAAAAACTGATTGTTCGCATGCCGTTGAATACACTTAAAGGTAATTCCTGGACTTCTAGTGAGAAATCTTGATTATGAAAGTTCAGTTGCGTTAGGCGTTAGACAGTTGTTTCCAGTTGTTATAATGTGAGTGACTGCAGATTAGAGGACAGTGTATTATCGATCGATCCAAAGACGCGTAAGACACGTAAAAACGACCTAGGGCTCTGATTGGTCCGCTTCCCTGTCTAGCCCAGCCTGTTGAGTCCAGAACTCAAGTCTCAGCCTCAGCAATATGAATCATTATATTTCAGACATACTCTGTTTATATACCAATCAACCAGACCGCATCGTACCGTAAAATAGAAAACAACATTTGTACAATATTTAACAAGTGAAATAAATGTTGACCAATAGGGAATCTCCATTTAAAGTCCAAGGACACCACTAGACTTAACATGATAATTATTGGGATATTTTTCTGAATATCCCAACACCAGTGTTCGTACAATATCGCGAAATGTCTGAAGTTAGACATGTAAACCTTTAAATCGTTCCTCAGTGGTTCAAATTTTTAGTGCTTGTCGTGGAACTTAATAGTCCTAAGTTCGATTCCTGGTGGGGTCGTGGATGCCCACTACCACTGAGTATTTCAACACTAAGACGAAACAGTTGTATAGTGCTTCTAAGATTCCAGTAATTGCCTAAGATTAATCGACGATACTACTCAAACAGGTTAGATTATAAACAATAAATAACGCAGAATTGGATGTTAATATGTACGAAGTTGAATGGTGTAATTTGCATGCAATTAACTTACATCATTTGAAGTCATCCCGACTTCAACTAAGAATTGGAAATCAGTTCAACCAATAAACAATGAATTATATCAATGGTTTCCTGTTTAACTTGCAAATAGTTATTCAATCAGTTTTAAAAATGGATTCTTAACGTAGGTTTAAATCCATGATAAATAGAACAGTTATACTGGAATATGTATATCCGGCTATCATATTTCGCAGATGTAATAAACGGACATTAAATAGCCGTACTCTTATGATGTTCATAATGCTAATTAATGCCTTTGATGAAAAAAAAAACAAGTAAAGAGCATTAAACTGTAGATTTATGTGTTGAGAATGCTAATTTAAATCTCTTTTATAACTTAGGTACGTTTAAAAATTTTCTCTATCTTACTAGACTTAGGATTTGTAATTAACAATATCGGCCAGACTATAATTTATGGACGAACCAATCAGGTACGAGATAAGAGGTCTTGGATTATGACGCGAAATTCATCCATTTGGCAGTTTGTAATGAAGACCCTAAATCTAATTCGTAACCTCAACTATCAACTGTAAACAATTGTTCTAATTCCTTAAACTGATTTATAACCTTCATTTGGTTCTAATTGATAGGTGGTCACTCTAGTGTCGCTGAAAGGTCGTCGATAAATTATAGTCTCACCACAATATCATCTATGCGTTTCACTACATTTACTCATGATGTAATAATGTAATTCAATAATCACCAATTGGAGCTATTTGTTCTCAACTCGAAGTTATATATATATATATATATATATATATATATATATATATATATATATATATATATATATATCGTTTCTACATTTGATACTTGTATTTTTATTTTTTAAAGGCAGTCTGTTGTTCCGATGGTATTCATTGTTGTCCAGCAAATACAATTTGTGATTTAAAAGCAGAAATGTGTATTGGTGAATCCGGTGATATTCTCACTAAACTACAATTGAAATCTAAACCTAAATTTAATTCATTCAAGTATAATTCACGTATTAGTATTTGCTCTGATATGAAGTCAGTTTGTATTAATGGTACATGTTGTTCCAATGTAAATGATCAATTATCAACACTTTGTTGTCCTTATGAAAATGTATGTTTTAAAAGTTTATTTATTGTTATATGTTATATTTTAACATTCTATTTGAATTTGTTTCCTCTATGTTTTTTTCCGAGATGGACGGTTTATAACTGGATGTACTTGCACCTCAGAGTTGATGTTCACTCTGGGACTCAAACCCCGTACTGTTCGCTTCAAACTCCATCGCGTTATCCACTTAGCTACTGAGTCGTGATGGCCACTTGCTTGTGCAATGGGGTGAAGTTTGAATTCACTTGATGCTGTTTATTTTGAATCTTCCCATTGATGTTTAGGACTGCAATTGATCAATCTCAGTGATGTCTTATATATTTTTTGTTGGATAAACGGTACTATAAGTTTTAGAATTAATGAATAGTGAGTAATAGTAGGATTCAGCAATCGCGTTTCGTCTTATTTTGAACTTATCTGAATATATCTGCATCCTATCATCGATGTTTAGTGTGTCATGTAATTTATAACACTATTCGTTCTTAGTTAAAATATAAAGTGTCTTATGTATTTATTTATTTAAACACATAAACATTGGTACAAGGGAGCGCCAAATATACACGCGTCATACTTCGTCATTTGATTTGTTTGAGGGCTGGAATACTACCTGGAAGCCTCCCGGACAGGTAAACGGTTGGTGACTGTCGTACCCCATCATGCTTTACTGTGTTTTTAGACAATTCGTTAGTAGTCATTCTATTTGTGTTCCATTATTATTGTTAATTAGGTCAATATTCAAGGCGAAGTCGACATCATAAGTTGATAGTTATAGAAAAATTCAAAGATGTACTTTGAAATCGTTTGTTTAATTTTTAAAAAAACATATTTCAGTAGTATATGTATTCATAATGATGTAAATTTATCATATGATTGATTCATCAGTCAGTCAGTCCAATTACTTGACTAATATGATACAATTGACCACAGATGCCTCAGAAATATTGCTGACGTCTACTGGGATCACCGGGTAAGTAACAGTGAGGTTAGACGCAGGGTATTAGGGAATGATGGTAAATCAGTCGATGAGGTTATGAATCTTCATCGACTGAGATGGTTGGGGCCACGTGTTACGTATGCCCGAACACCGATTACCACGACGTGCAATGCTAACCGGTGTTCGGGATGGTTGGAAGAAAGTTAGGGGCGGCCAAACCAAAACGTGGCATCAGTGTTTGAAGTCACTAACTTCTAGTCTGAGCCATGTTGGTAGATGCAGACTACTTGATTGGGGTCCGCGTGACTATCGTAACCAATGGTTGGAGACTCTGTGTGACATGGCTCAGAATCGATCACAATGGCGTCGGTGTATACACTCTCTATCTTCCCTTAAACTAAGAGATTAAAATCACTTCATATCTTTCTTTCTACGAACTAATTCTTCCTGTACTATGTACTTATATGCAATCTTTCTTTTATATATTACCACTTCTGAATTAACTACTTTTGTGAATCCGGTGTCCATCTTGTTGTGTTAATGAGGTATGGAAACTTGGACTGATGCATATATGTGCCTGGTCCTACGTTGTAGCTGACTGACTAACTGATGATACAATTTTTATTATAATTTTCAGGCCGTTTGTTGCAACGATGGTGAACATTGTTGCCCAAAGGGTACAACATGCGATATGGTCAATGGTGGTTGTATTATTTCACAAGAAGATTTATCAAAATCTAATTCTGTTCCATTGCTTACCAAGATCTCAGCATTACATGTTACTTCCAAAAATAACACACAGTCTACTGTTTTCACACAAGTTTGTCCTGGTGGTAAAGCGAAATGTCCAGATAGTGCAACATGTTGTAAATTATCTAGTGGGGAATATGCATGTTGTCCAATTCCAAATGTGAGTTTCCATCAGAATAGGAGTTTTATTAATATAAATTAGTAATCATACTTCGATAACAAGTTTGCAGACTTTATTCTTTTTTTACTTGAGTTATGATAAGTCAGTCCGCCTACTTGAACATTTGTTTCTAACTTTCCACCCGCTTCCTATAACCACAGATTAGGCATACGCCTCAACTTGAACAATAGGAAAAAGGAGAGAAATGTGAGTCAGCTCTTTACTTCAAAATGAGTTATGTCAGACACTCATACTGTAGAACCTGGTACGTGTGTACATCGGTTCAAGTCCCCATACCCAAATAACAGAGAGAGATGGAATTATAAGACCAAATCTTAGAATGGTAGAGGTAGTAACGGTAACAATGGCAGTAGGAAAGATTAGATATCAGACACGATTTGTAAAGAAAATATAAATTAGTGAAATAAAGACAAAAGTAATGGTTATGAGGAATTCAGAATTTCGGGGATGACAAATAATGGATGCATCTGCACCATTGCAAACGATTTTGAGCCATGTGATTCAAAGTCCCTAACTATTGGTAATGATAATCACGCGGATCTCAACCAGGTAGTCTACACCTATTAACATGGCCAAGTCCAACTGTCTATGATTTTATGGACTGACGGCATGTTTTGGTTTTGCTGCCCCTAGCTTTCTTCCAGATTACTCCTACACCACACAACATCGCCCTATGGAGATTATAAAAGTTTCGAATCCATTGATAAATATCGCGTGCCATATCACCAATCACAGTTCTAATTCTAATTTGGTCTATTTCGCGTCTACCACTTTCTCGATAGCCTAGTTTCTTCAATTTGTATAAATACACGGTCGATCAGTACCATCAGCTGTAATCAAACAGCTCACCTATTGGTCCGCTATTCATACACTCCTCTCTTTGCCCTGCCATGAGTTGAGGAGTAGCAACCAACCGCTCCTACGTTTCTATTTCAAACAGACGCGTTTCTTATACAGGCATACCAGACCGCATTACACCATAGAACAAGTCAACGGTGGCTGTGTATGGGAAAGGGTGTAAATAATGGAATGAGAACAAAATAGGTATAGTAAGTCGTACAACAGTACGGAATGAGTCAACTGAAATCCTATGATAAATGGTATATACATATATATAACAATTTTTCAATAACCATGGCTTCTATAAATCTAAAAATGGGCCCTTGATAATTTCTGTACAAAGCCTTAAAGACTATCTCAGGGTTGATCCTTTGACTTGTTTCAATTGTGTTTTACAATCTAGGAGCCTGGTTTCCTACTTTCTGCATTTATTCCGTTGATTAAGACTCAATATTCACTGAGCTATTTTGGCGTATGCTCCATCACAGTTGATTAAATGGAGAAGTAATCAAAAGTTCTGTAGTAAAGGAGACAAACAATCGTTAATTTCAGCATAACTTTGAATCGTTTTAACATAATCAGAATTCGCTGTTCATGATGAGGATTTTAAACATGTTTTCTTAGTTGATTGTTTTAATCTTTCATTGTCTTTCTAGATAGAGTCATCTAAAGATGCTTTTTTAAAGGATATTTTAGTGATGTTGTTTAGGACGATTAAAGCTCCATAGACCATTGAACCAACCAGTTCAGGCGAATAGAATACATTCAAAATTTTGAAAACTTGTTCAATATTTTATTGATTACGAACCGATTTAAGTTAGATTACCATTAAAAATATGGAAGCACTAGACAACTGTTTCGTTTTTGTATGGAACTTCTCAGTGGTGGTGCACATTTATGACACCGATATGGGGGGCCGAACCCAAGACCCTGTTTAATATTGATAGAAATGATCTGAATATCTGAATGCATCATTAACAATTAAAACGTTTGTCAATAGTTTTTGTTTTATTAACATATTGAGATAAAGCAACGTTTTGGCTTTTGTAACAACAAAGTTTTTCTAAAGGTACTTGTCATCTATTTTCAATGTTAAAAATGCTACCAATCTCTCCCAATCTTAATTTTTCCCCAACCGTAGTTAAAAACAGTAGTCGGCGTTTAGATTCGTATGAACATTGGTTCGTTGGGTAAAGGAAATATGAAACTTTGTGGCAGGCCTATTAGCTACGGACAACTCAATCATGTTTCAGAGAACATCTTTGAGTTTTTCGCGTTATCCATTATGTGTTGATGACTAAATACCATTCTGGCATTGTAGTTTATTTCAGTTCCGAATTATCTTAATGAAAATAGTTGATAGAAGTTCCTCAATTTGCTATTGTAGTATTTCTCAATGTTCGTATGTAAACTACAGTCTTGCTAAAAAAAAATTTAATTTGTCTCCTGATTTTACAGAGTTCTTTTGTTTCCTATCTTATTTAAAATTTCATTTGGTATATTCATCTATAAATAATGAACGACAAAAATGTAGTGCCATTTATGACTTCAATTACTCTCGTATTTCTCCGTTCTATTAAATGGATACTAAATTGCTTGGAATGAACACTGAACGATTTATCCGCGTATACAACTCATTCACTTTACATTAGATACTCCGCCAGGATTATTCTATCAGATATCAATAAAAATAAAATCAAAAAAACACATAACTGACCTGAATAATACATACTTTTAGAGATAATACTCTCCTCATCTAAATTTCCAGGGTTGAATTTCTACCGGGAGGTTCGCTTGTTGAATTAGAATATGCTGATGACATAGTTTTATTTGGTGAAGACGCTGACAAAATGCAGAGTCTTTTGACCACTCTAAGCAACAATGCAAACATGTTCGGGATGCGATTCTCTCCCTCGAAATGCAAAATGTTGCTTCAGGATTGGGTTACATCGACACCCGAACTAATGATAGGGAGTGAAGTAGTTGAGTGTGTCGACCGCTTCACTTATCTTGGAAGTCTCATCAGCCCTTGTAGTTTAGTGTGTGACGAAATCTCAGCACGGATACAGAAGGCTCGACTAGCTTGCTTTGCCAACTTGCGTCATTTATGGCGTAGGCGAGATATCCGTCTATCAACCAAAGGACGGGTTTACTGCTCAGCAGTTCGTCCCGTCCTACTTTATGGCAGTGAAACATGGCCGGTAAGAGTAGATGATATTCGTAGGTTACTAGTATTCGATCATAGGTGTCTTCGAAACATTGCTCGTATATCATGGGACCATCGAGTAAGTAACACAGTTGTTAGGAAACGGTACTAGGTAAGGATGGCAAATCAATTGATGAAGTAGTGAAACTTCATGAGTTGAGATGGCTGGGACACGTGTTACGTATGCCCAACGGCCGACTGCCTCGACATGCAATGTTCAGTGGTATAGGAGTAGGTTGGAAGAAAGCTAGGGACGGCCAGACCAAAACATAGCACAGGTCCATGAAGTCACTGACAAGTGGACTGAGTCATGTTGGTAGGTGTAGACTACCTGGTTGGGGACCGCGAGATGATAGCAACCGATGGTTAGAGACCCTGAATGACATGGCTCAAATCGTTTGCAATGGCGCAGGTGCATCCACTCTTTGTGTTTACCCAAATTCTAATATTCTAAGTTCTTCGTATCCTTTTTTTTCTCTTCCGAAATTTATTTCACTGGATTATACTTTTTGAATAACATCCTCAAACCCTAATGTTTCTGATTACTGCTTATACTCTTACTACCTCTACCACTACGGGATTTAAATCGACAACTGCATCTGTGTGCTAATGTGGTATGGCAACTCGAACTGATGTACGTACTTACGAAGTTCTACGTTGTTACTGACTGACTGCATTAGCCAACAACCGACAATAATTAAACACAAGAGGTCGGGAAATATATATGATATATCATCAAATACCTGTCAGACTATCTACCAGGTTTGTCAAGGTAACCCAATCAGTCTTTTTTTCTCTCTTGTTTACGCAACAGAAACACAATTGAAAACTATCATTTCACCTGTTCTCAGGATCTGATTTTCATAAAAAATACATGGTATTTTTCAATGGATATAATAATTAGGTGATAATTTTGCTTTATATGAGCTACAATTAGTTAGCTTATGTGTGTTAATCAATCAAATTATTCCCAGTTGCCCATTTTATGTAATGATGCTTCTTGAAGAAACCGGAGTTTTATTGATTGTAGTGACCTGGGAACGTAGCTGCAGTACCAGAGGAACAACTTTTCGATCTTCTTTGGAATTGTTGTCGGTAAGTTAGTTCTGTACTTTAAAGGTCCTATTACTGGAGACAAGAGTCTATGGGATAGGAAAAATTGTCACATTCTTAGAACTGGTATTTTTAACCCCTCCTTTTTGTTACAGCATCGCTGCAAGTGTTGGTTATATGGAGAAAACAGCTTGCTGCCACCACATCCCAGTAACAGTCAGCAGTTTAACTTCACTATTGGACCGTAAGTTGTTACTTTTAGTCTTATGGTTTTGAGATGGTGTAGCTCATGTGAATGACTTAGGTGGAGTTTTGTTCTGTGAGCGCGATCATCATCACATCAAGGTTGGGATACTAGATCACAAACTAGTTTTGCCTATTGGAAAACAAGCTGACTTTTCCTTTTTACCTTATCTGATTTATGAAATTTGTAAAAATACTGTCCACCTTTTCTTCAAATTCTGTATTGTTATGTTCAATTTCATTATAGGCTATTTGTTGTACAGATGATATTCATTGCTGTCCATCAGGAACTTCATGTGACTACAAAACTCTATCGTGTGTGAAAACCGACAATGGTCATTCATTGGAAGCCCAACAGCTAATGAATTATTACGTAATCCTGGATTGTTGTTTACTGGAGTACGTGATCATGTTTGCCCTGGTCATCAATCTACATGTGCTGATGATCAAACTTGTTGTCCATTGCCTGATAAATCATTCGGTTGTTGTCCACTGAAAAATGTACGTGTTGTATATATGTATATGCATATAAATTTTAAATGGAGTTTAAATATACATAGTTTATATAATTCACTATGAATTTCTTAGAATTTACCCCAGGGTTGTTCATTTTGGCATCAATATAGTACATTAAGCTGATTAAATACTGTGCCTGGATATCATTTTACTTTTATTGTCAAACACATATTTTAAGTAGCAATGTTCGTATGTATATCTTTCGTTTTTATTTATTTATTTAGATGTCATAAATTTCACTGCTGTCTATTTGTTTGACGTCTCTCTACTTATATCCTCTTAGCTTTTTTGTAATATTTCCGTAAAATTACCGTTCTGCGAATGCACTGTCTTGAGTGCTGTTAAAGGTACTATGGAGGAATTGTCAATTCCATATAATTCAAGTTGTGGAAGTATTCTTCTTTAGTTACGTGAAATTGAAATTGTGTTAGGGATAACCTTAACAACCTAGGAGCCTAGCCGCTAAGGCCAGGAGAAAATCATATAAGTTCGATCACTCATAACCTTTCTGATATTAGAAGAGAGACGATTGATTAAATGACTAAGAATCGTTTACAATAAAACATGTATTTATTTATTATCTTCACCTAGATTCCAATTTCGAGTATTCGTTTGTGCACATTTTTTTTCATTCTGTCGTCTTGAATGGTGTTCTCACTGTTCTATCTTTCTCATTTTCAGTATAGGGTTGTGGAGATTGTTGAGTTTTAATTGAGCTCATGAATCGATAAATGTTAGACCACTATTGAAAACCTGGATCACTGTGGACGGCCCTTTCTTCCTAGTATGGTACTGATAATCATCATATGTTCACTGGTGACTAGATTTGAGAAGTAATTGTCGGGGTTCAAGTGCGAAGCCATAACCACAGGAGTTCAACTGTGTCGGATGTGGGGGAGTTACCTACCGAAGACAATGAGAGATGGTCACCTAATATTGTCGGTTGACTAAAGTCAGATATTAACACCGTTGAATGCCGGCTCGTTGGTTTAAAGGTTAAGCGTTCGTGCGCGCGACTGAGGGTCCCGGGTTCGATTTCTGCGTGTGAGATCGTGGATGGGTACTGTTGAAGAGTCCCGTACTAGGAAGAAATGGCCAGTGCTTCTAGGTCTTTTTACTTTCAGTCCTACTAAATCATTTCCACTCCTTTATTATTTATTCCGGCCATTTCACCTCGTTATGTTAATGTGGTGCAGAAGCTTAGATCATCTTATATTTATGCTAGACTGTTGATTATAACTAATTACTGACTCTTCACTCTCTCTCTCTTTATATATATATATATATATATATATATATATATATATATATATATCCCCAAATGCCCTGGTAAGGCCGAGAGTGGGGAGAGTCAGCTCTCCCTCTCGAAATGCTCTCACATGTCTATGTGCATACAACCACTGCCAGGGAAGTCTTACTCGCTGCCTTCTTGTGGCGGGGGTGTTGTTTACGAAATTGACAGGACGAAAAGCTAATGTCCAGCGCTTTAACCGGGTTGGTGGATACCAAGGATCCACCTAGGGGAGTTGGAAAACCCTGATTCCAAATCAATGGTGCACATTGGTTTCAGGATCCTATGGAAAAAATGGCGTATGAGCCTACTGTTGGTCACCGACTACTATGGGACTGCATCTCCTTAGGTTGCTCCACTTCTTTTTGGATTAGACCTTTAGGTTGAATGCTCCGGTGTGGCCCCTTCAAGAAAACCATTTACTTCAGTTTGGTCACCCGGGCAGTATCCCAGCCCTAACATAAATCGAATGATTTATGTAGTGCATATCTATTCGATCCCTCTTTGTACCAATGTTTATGTGTTTAAATAATTATATATATATATATATATATATATATATATATATATATATATATATATATATATATATATATATATAGTTGTTTGTGTATAGCGTGCCAGTTCAATCTCGTGCATAGCTACACATCATCATATCTATCCATTCTCATTTATAATTAAACAATATATTATTTGATAAACAATCAATCCAATTATAACTAATTTTGCATAAACTCTAACTAGTCATTCGCAATTAGTTATTATTCTATAGACAATTAATCGATTACATAATGAAAATTTCATCGTTTATCATTAGTATACCAATATGAAATATTTGAAACAGTGAAAAAAATAAACGTTTAACACCCTTTATGTTGTATAATTGATAGGTAACTACTTACATGGTAACAATTAAAATTGTAATACTGTCTGTCATAAGTTCGGTCTACTTCATTGAATGGTGCGAGAATCGACTAATTATTGATTTAACGTGATGATTTATTTATAGGATAAGAGTATTATTGTTTCGATGATAGAATTTGCTTATTTTCAATTTAACAGAACAAATATTGTTAAGTTGTAAGTATACAATGTATTTATGTGTCATTATTAGTGTGTTAATGTTATGACTTAAAACGCTAATCAATATCATGTTTGATATTACCTAGTCAGCATTCCGATTGTCAATTAGTTCACCTAGATGTATTGCCAGTAGGATTAGTGACTTTCAATTGCACTGACTAATACATACCTACTAATGAACTACAATCAAGGCCTTAACACGCTTATTTGTCCTCAAGCTCCTTCTAACCCCAGTGATCAATCAGAAGATGACGATAGGATTCAGATTAGTTCTCTATTGTACTCAATTCAATTATGATTCAAAAGTTATACAAAAATTTATTTAAAATAACAACACAGCACACTAAATAATAAATCTTGCTGTAATTAGAATTATGCTGATCGCGGACTAAACGGTCTGTAACTAATTAGCAATAACTAAGGAACACTCAAATATGTAACGACAGTTAATAGATCCACTGATAGCTTACAATATGGGAAACACAGAAATGCGGCATTACAGTTATCTACTAATTATACCATAAAAGTATAGATAATAACAATTTGAATGGTAGTTTTGAAATCCCCAACTTTTCCAATATTTTCATCCCGTTATAAGAGCTAGAGATTGCTAAATTTTGAATTTTCACATTATGATTAATATCTTCAATGGTCATGGAATATAGCGAATTGAATGAAGCGAGGGTTGTAAACTATTGGTTGGCATTTATGTGTTTTGAAGGATAGACACTCATCGCGATGCTAACAGGTCCTCAATTCAATCTCTAGTTGAGTCCTGGACCGAATTCCTAATGAGTTCCATGCTCGGATAAAACAAGTGCTCAGTATTTCCTGATTTTAATGTTTGTTTAACCTACATAAAATAAATACTCTGGCACGTCTGAGAATAGGGAGAGTTCATTGTTCTTCTAGAAATGCTCTCATATTACACGTTATTATATCCTCTGTTAAGGGATACTCACTCACTACATCCACAAAGCAATTGTGTTGTTTACGAAAATGAGAGGAATAAAACCAGACGTCCGTCGGTTAAATGAGGGTTGGTAGACAACAGGAGTTCATCTAGGGGAGTTGAAAAAACCCTGACTTTAAACTAATAGTGCAGATTGGTATCAACGTTTCGAGCGAACAAATGGCGTACGAACCTATTATGGTTACCGACTACTATGAAAATCCATTGCTTAACGTTTCCATACTGGTTTGTGAATTAAGTGTCTACATCAAAAGTTCTACGAGTGGCTTCAGAATAACAGTACCCGTTACGATTTAGACTTATCAAGATAGTATCTCGTACAATTATTTTCATGATTTTTTGTCCTGCAAATACTGTTTATTGGCTCCGTCCAAGTTATGCAAGATTTTATATGAAATTAATAGATATCCATAGTTAATCTACAGAATAAAACTTTATTTCTGATACATTCACATTCTACTTTCCTGGCTCTTTCTATATCCCATATCTTGACAATCTTTAATGTTTCTTATTATTATTATTATCATCATTAGTGAACTAAGAACACCATCAATTATTGTACAAGTTTATATTTTTTATCTCATAAAGTTTACATTAAAATAGTTGTATAATAAAGAGATATTACTTCGTTACCTATCTGGCTCCCTATCTACCTATCAACTTCCAGCTTTTTTTTCGTATTGTATGTTAAGACATAAATATAAATGACTCTAATGTCCTGTTAATCATAGCAATAGAATAATAATAATAATAATTGTCATTATTACATAGGATTGTTTATCTAATCAACCAAATTAATGTATGTATGTTTCCTTTTGTCGAGAATAGAAAACACAATATGAAATAAACAGAATGAAATACCATTCGATAAGTATCATAAAATTTCATGGTATTTGTTAAAATTTTTACATAACTATTTTAATGGTACAATTAGGTTAGTTGTATGTGATAATCAAATCGATAAGTCACTAACAGAACTAGACTAAGCCTTCATTTCCAATGGGATTAAATTTCGTGTGGATTAGTTGTGTTCTCTGGTGGTCGGCGGCCTATGCTCCATTAGGAGTAACAGGCGTAAGTAAGTTGTGTTCTCTGGTTTGTTCTGAGTAGTTTAATTTTGAGGCTTTTATTGTCATTCTACTTAATATGATTCATCAGCACTCATTTCGATTAGAGATAAGCTGTTTGTGTTCTAAAAAAAATTGACTAACAACTCGTTTTCCTAGTTTAGATCACAAATTGATCTTAGCCAGACTACTATTGAAAACCAGGTAACACTGAACAGCTTTGGATGTACACCAACGGATTTCGGCTCAGTTGCCTAGGTGTTAAGCGTTCACAATCCCTTTGTTTGGGTCGTGGTTGCGTGTTACCACTGAAAGGTCCCATACTAGAATCTAATAACTATTCAGTGCTTTCTGGTTTTCAGTTGTGGTCTAGCTAAGACCATTTCGTGACTTAAAGCTACAAAAAGTTTACTGTCTCTGCAAACACTAATGTATTAATAGCAACTTGTTTGTTAACCTTAGTATTGATCGATTATTGTATCGATACATTTGTTTTATCATTGTATATTTGCACATCTCTCATCGATTGTCTCTCACAAACTTCATTGTTCCTTCATTTCTGTTGTTATTACGAGTGCTCTCGGTTTACATTCCTGTCCTCAACATTCTGCTGCCAGGCATTCCACTTATGATTGATGCTACATACTACTTATGTCTGCTGACATAAGTAGCATACAACACATATTTATTTCCATGATCTACCTTGATCTAATAGTTTCTAGTTTTTCCAATTAGCTAATAAATTGGATTGGTTTTTATATGTTTTATTGGTGCTTGAATGTTAAACTTGTAAAGCTGTTGTGACATTCCCCGTACTCTCCCCATCTTGGATTTCAAATGGTCGAAGAATCACTGACTAAACAGACATGAGTGTATCCTATATGAATATTCGCCAAAATTTGGATGAACGGTTCAACAGAAATGAGGCATGAAATGTATACAGAAAACATTAAACTGTATAAATTGTATTTGAAATCATCTCAGTGATTGAAGTTTAAGTAATTCCAGTGTTTTGCCCAGCCTGTTTGTTAGAGTTTCTTTAGGGAAATAATAAAAATCATGAATGTATATTTAGGGATCAGATTTTTTTATACAAGCTAATACCTGTAGACTTGTAGTTTGAAAGAATTGTCAACAAACATTAGATGACTAATAGGTATTTTCTGATATATGTAATATTTTATTGTGAATATTCAATTCTAAACAACATTCAACAGCGAACTATTCATCATCAAATATAACTGGATTTCCTTTTCATCTTTGTTGGAGACTCAAAAGTTCATATTAATAATTCAACATAGGAAAGTTTGTTAGCTATGTACTACTTTTAAGACTTCAACACTAGAGACTAACTGATCCAACATAGAACTTTAATCACATCAAAGAAATCTGACGTTTAACCTATATCTCACGCTATTATACAACAGTTGCTTAGTTTTTAAGTCTTCTAACTTTCAACTACTTTGGTGTTTTTAATAATGTGTATCTTTGTTGTGTTTTTTTTTGACTGGTTCGAATACACATTGTTCTCCTTCCCTTCTGTTCTTGTTCTGATTTGGGAAGAGTCAAGTGAAGTATGGAGTATGTTTAATGACTATTAGACAGTAGAATAACATAGCACGTTATTTTGTAGAATTCAATCATTTTCCTAACAATAATAATTAGTTACTTTAGCTATAGTTAGTGTGTAGTGATAGGTGTCTGATTGAACTAAGTTAACAGGTTCTGGATTTTCAATTATGTAAGTCTAGATTTGTTCTCAAGTCAATTGGGTACAATAGACATTCCGAAATACGTAACGATCTAAAATTCCATATAAACATAAATATGATTCTCTTGAACTTTTCACTTAACATGATCTCAGTTGATATTCGTCTTGAATCTTTTATAAAAAATAAGATAATATTATTCTGTGTTCCTTTATTACTTCAGGGTGTTTGTTGTGGTGATCATCTTCACTGTTGTCCAGCTGGTTCAATATGTGATTTGGATACAAAACAGTGCATTTTACAAATTGAATACAATCAATCTACCACAAAAATAGTTTATGATGGGTTTACTATGCACAAAGCTAATCAAAAGTTATCAGATAGTTTATATTCACAACCAGTAAAATCTATTAGTACAATTGATACTTATGTACAAGCAAAATGGTGTGGAGCATGTGGTGACACTTGGGCTTGTTGTCCAGATATTACTTTTACTTCATGGTCATGTTGTCCTTATGTGGGCGTAAGTTACGGTGATAATTTTAATTGGATTATTATATTATATTGGTAGGTTTTGCTACCGAAACGCTTAAACTGTCTTCCAAGTTAGTTCCGATAACTTAAAATTACTTCTACACATCAACTGGAATACTAGGGAGAGAAGACGCGAATTGCGAATAAAAGCTTTACTTCAAGGTTAGTTTATGCTATCGACCAAGTTGCAATACAACCACTAGTCTAGGTGACTCGACATTTCGTTCACTCTGTTGGGATAAGATGATGGTTGGAGATATTCAACAGAAAACCCTGGGCCTAGGTTTCGTGCTGTTTGGCACTCGTCAGCATGGTTTACCTATAATCTTGAGGGAACTGGTACTCCCTGACAGATTCGATCCTGTATCACCCAGCTTCACAGCCAGAGACGTTAAACCGAATTATTTTCATCTTTAATGGATTTTGATGAATAATTAATTAATACCAGTTCACTCTCTATAAAATATCTAAATTATCAATGTGTTGTACATTTTTTTTAACTCAATTATTTACTACTTAATTGGTTTGTGTAGACTGTAGGAATTTCTATTTTATTGTTAATTTAGGGAGAATGTTGTATTGGACAAAATACTTGTTGTCCTCCTGGATCACGTTGTTTAAATAATGGGAAATGTGAAAAGATCCAAAAGAATATCTTCAAATCATCAACATCTACTTTAATACCATCTATTTCAATGAATAACAATGTACAAAGACCACATTTCATTAAACAAAATAATGAAAAAGAAAACTTCCAGATAGAAATGTCCAACAGTGCTAAACCTGCTCAAAGGAATATCCTTCTTCTGTAAGTAGATTTTCTTTCTCTTTTTTGTACGTTTAAAATGGTTTTTCTTGTGGTCTGTGTCTGATGATATTGGAAGTTGATTATAAAGCCTGTTTATTGATTTGTTCACTTTAAGGTCATTTAATCAACGATTTTATGTTTGACCGATGATACTATGATGTTTATTTGACCAAATAATTCAATGACCTAATCAACACAAGAATAATTTCACATTTTATGGTTTAAAAACTCCATCTTACCCTAGTGTCCAACCAGAAAACGATGTTAAGAGCGAGATTTCAGTAGACCTGGGAGAGTGTTTCGCGCACTAGAATCATTGATCATGGTTACACTTGAGGGGGAAACCAAAAGAGGAAGTTTAGAGTTGAAAGTCGACGTAGGAGGTATAATAGGAACTGAAGAGGGAGATCGATTATGAATGCAGTGATCTTGAGTGTTGTTACAGGTATGAGAGTGGTTTTCACTTCCCGGTTGCCCACACAGTGGAATGGTCTTTCTAGAGGTAACTGAAAAGGAAATTCAGTTACAGTTGGTCTTAGTCATCTGAGAACGTGACCACAATGCCCAAGGGGGATAACTGCTTGAGGTCGGTCACACACGACCTTTCTGTGAGTAATTTTCGTGTTAGCTCCGTATTGTTGAAACCTTACCGTCGGAGACCGATATCCGTGGGATAGGGTGGTGTTCATTTTTAGGATCGACCTTTTCTAATCCCACCCCTCCTTGTGGGAAGGCAGCATCGTTGTTACACTGGTTGCCTGAAGGAAACACCTTACTGCCGTCACACCTCTGTACAGTCACTAGTATGACTTCGCCTTCGAACTTTGAGTTTGCTACTTTTAGTATTACCACTCTTCAACCGACCTGTCTGGTATTGCAGGACCTTGTGGAATCATTGTTCCAGCCAGTATAACTCGATTGGTTCATCGCGATAAGCAAGCTCGACCATCACATCAAGGTAGCAGCAACTTTCGGGATGTTAGAGAACAGATTAAATCGTCTATTAGTTCCTATTGGTCTCCATTCAAAAACTCAAGGAATTATATACAAGAATTTCCTGGCCATGAATTATTACAAATAAGGAACCAAAATGAGGGATCAATCCATTAAAACTCTATCTGTTGGACTGAGTCATATAGTGGTAGTTGGAGATTGCTTGACTGAGATTCGCGTGCTTATTATAACAAAACGGTTGAAAACTTTAGATGAAATGAAGAGTTAGAATCATTTGCAACGGTGCAAGTGCATTCACTCTTTCTCTTCCCTTAAATCCGCACTCTAAATTGCCTTATAAATGTTTTTCTTATCCACATAAACCGTATTTTGTTCTTAAGTCGTATCTTCAATCTATAATCTTTTCTATTACCACTAATACCGTTACTACCTTCTATTATATTGGGATTCGCCCTGACAATTCGGTCTGGTTACGCACATAAAGTGTGACAAATCGAATCTATGTATACACATGTATCAGATTCTACGTTGTGTACCACTGGTTGACTGACTGACTGAATTTGTACATAGCTTATTTTTAAATGATACTAAACTAAATAATCAGTTTATAGTTAACTAAGAATAATTTATTAACACCGAATTATGTAGCAAGGGTTTTCACGTCAAATGGAAGTTTAGAATTAAGTAGGATATAAGAAGGAGATAAACCAAGTACTTAGTGATTATATAATAAAAATATGTGTGAGTTTTTGCATGGAATAGTTCTGCAAGTTTAACTCTCCTCCCTACCCCCCCCTCGTCCCGGAAATACTATCTGCTCGTGTGCAACATATTCTATCATTGCTTACCTATTAGTGTATTAAATTAAATTAGTTCCATTTACCTAGGTATCCATTGAGGAAACATAGCGCAACCGTGAAAAAAATCTATCAATATTATTTCCGTCCTTTACACTAATGATAGGTTTATAGTTCTAATAATCACTGTCGGATCATTTTCGCGTTTGGGATGATTCTTTTGCTTCAAATGAATAATCATGCTCTAAAGCCGTCCTGCATTAGCGCAAGTTAAGTACATTGATTGCTTCAGTTTCATCGGTCCTGGTGAGCTGATGTCTGATGAAGAAAATCTGGATTAGTATTTTCCAACTAGTATCACTGGTAGTGTAGGCAAGATATCTGTCTGCCAACTTAAGGATGAGTTTACTATACATTAGTTCATTTCATTCTACTTTATGTGTGTTAAGTTTGTCCTACATTGTTCCACTAGCTCCCCTTCCATTCCTTTGTATATTGTTTTATACTATTTATTTACATTCAGTAAGCAGTTGTATTCTCAACAATTTTACACTTATGTTGTAACGCAAGTTGAAGTGTAATATTCTGAAATGTTCACACATACTTATAACGTTTATTGTACTTATCATTTTATTTATCATTATAATTACTGTATCTTAACCACTGCAGTGGTTATCCACAGTTTCGTGCATTTGTTTAAACGCAACAGTTTCCATATTGTTTTGCTCTTGGTTCGGGTTTCGGTTGTTTATAAACTGTTATCAAATTTAGACACAGCTATCAGCTGTCCTTTGTACTATCCGTGTGTTATAATTGCTCTTTATGTCACTGTTACAGAAAGCCTTGTTTATTTTCATACTTGTAGGACGCGTTTAAACGCCCCAGACACCTCACAAGTTGAGGTTTGTAACTAAATTTTGTGTATTATTCAATAAAGAACCGCTATTGTAGACAAATCGTTGTTTTGGAAACTTCGGTTTTGCGCGTATCTCAACCGGGTAACTTGAACGCTTCGATAGACTTAACAGTTCTCAACTTTGGTCCTAATTGGTGTGGATACTCGCTGTAACGAATATTGGTCGGAATTTAGTTTGGCTAATTTGTCCCAACAATGACGAGGACGAGAAAAATGAAGTACAACGGCGACAGTTCCGAAGATACAGACGACTCGAGTGCTGAAAATACTGTTCTTTCAGTTTCTAAGGTGAACTCACCAACTTCCTTAAATCTTGCTTTTGATAATGTTAAACCAAACCCCGAAGATAGCTATCCTTTAGTAGATACCTATGTGGAGACTGTATGTAGAATAGAAGGTGAAGCAGTTTCTAGGGAAAAAGAGGTAGAGAAGATTCAGTTAGAGATTCGAAAGCCTCAACTTCGTAAGCGATTGTTGGAATTAACACCGAAACCTTTAAACAAAGTGAGAAAATCGAGGGAGATTACTGAGTTATCTGGATCTCGATCCGAAGACATAACTCCCACAGCTATGAGCGATGAGTTGGAACTTAAAGCACACGTAGATAACGTCAAGTCACTATTCATGACGGCAAGCCTACCGAAGATAGAGATCATGAAATTCGACGGAAGTCCTCTAAGATTTTGGACGTTCATGAAGGGATTCAAGGTTAACATCGCCGACAGAGTAAACGATGACACTCAGTGATTAATGTACTTGATACACTATTGTGAAGGTATAGCAAAAGATGCTATAGAACACTGTGCTTTACTACCAGAAATAGAAGGTTTCGATAAAGCACTTAATATTCTACACAAGCAGTTTGGGAGACCACATGATATCGTAGCTGCGTTTTAACAGAATTATTGAAAGGATCGCCACTAAGTCAGAACGATGTAGCGGGGTTGCAGAAAGTAACAAGAATCATGACCAATTGTAAAATGGCCTTGTCACAGATGGGACGAAATGCCGACCCGAATTGTTCGACTAACATAAAACGAATAGAAAAACGACTACCACGAACTACACAGTTTAAATGGGCGGAAGCCGCAGGTGATATCTTAAGAAGAGGGCTAGAGCCCAATTTTGATATGTTACAATTCCTAGAAAAGAAAGTGTCAATCGCTACGTACACTTATGGACAATTAGTATGTGAGAGCTACAAAATTCAAACGACATCGAACAACCAGTCTCTCTACATTAGAGCTAAGATCCATACCTTGTCTAGCAAAGGAAAAGTGCATTGCGTAATCTGCTCTGATTCGCACGAAGTCGCATCTTGCTCACAGTTGCTAGCAGTAAGTCACAACGAAAGGCTAGGGTTACTGAAGAAGTTTAAGCTGTGCTTTAATTGTTTGAAGCCCAATCATCGAGCAACGGACAGTCGGCAACCCATGTTGTGTGAAGTCGATGGATGTAAACGACGCCATCATAAAATTCTTCACAACACAGACCCTGACTCTAAACAAGCACACTGCAACTCCATTTATTCTACTGGAACTTACCTGTCAGGTTACATGGGCTAAATCACTAAGCATTATGGTCGTATCTCAGCCGTTGTCTAACAAGGCATACGTACCTACGTGTCCCATGGGCCCATGTAAAACACAGTGTTCTATAGCATCTTTTGCTATACCTTCACAATAGTGTATCAAGTACATTAATCACTGAGTGTCATCGTTTACTCTGTCGGCGATGTTAACCTTGAATCCCTTCATGAACGTCCAAAATCTTAGAGGACTTCCGTCGAATTTCATGATCTCTATCTTCGGTAGGCTTGCCGTCATGAATAGTGACTTGACGTTATCTACGTGTGCTTTAAGTTCCAACTCATCGCTCATAGCTGTGGGAGTTATGTCTTCGGATCGAGATCCAGATAACTCAGTAATCTCCCTCGATTTTCTCACTTTGTTTAAAGGTTTCGGTGTTAATTCCAACAATCGCTTACGAAGTTGAGGCTTTCGAATCTCTAACTGAATCTTCTCTACCTCTTTTTCCCTAGAAACTGCTTCACCTTCTATTCTACATACAGTCTCCACATAGGTATCTACTAAAGGATAGCTATCTTCGGGGTTTGGTTTAACATTATCAAAAGCAAGATTTAAGGAAGTTGGTGAGTTCACCTTAGAAACTGAAAGAACAGTATTTTCAGCACTCAAGTCGTCTGTATCTTCGGAACTGTCGCCGTTGTACTTCATTTTTCTCGTCCTCGTCATTGTTGGGACAAATTAGCCAAACTAAATTCCGACCAATATTCGTTACAGCGAGTATCCACACCAATTAGGACCAAAGTTGAGAACTGTTAAGTCTATCGAAGCGTTCAAGTTACCCGGTTGAGATACGCGCAAAACCGAAGTTTCCAAAACAACGATTTGTCTACAATAGCGGTTCTTTATTGAATAATACACAAAATTTAGTTACAAACCTCAACTTGTGAGGTGTCTGGGGCGTTTAAACGCGTCCTACAAGTATGAAAATAAACAAGGCTTTCTGTAACAGTGACATAAAGAGCAATTATAACACACGGATAGTACAAAGGACAGCTGATAGCTGTGTCTAAATTTGATAACAGTTTATAAACAACCGAAACCCGAACCAAGAGCAAAACAATATGGAAACTGTTGCGTTTAAACAAATGCACGAAACTGTGGATAACCACTGCAGTGGTTAAGATACAGTAATTATAATGATAAATAAAATGATAAGTACAATAAACGTTATAAGTATGTGTGAACATTTCAGAATATTACACTTCAACTTGCGTTACAACATAAGTGTAAAATTGTTGAGAATACAACTGCTTACTGAATGTAAATAAATAGTATAAAACAATATACAAAGGAATGGAAGGGGAGCTAGTGGAACAATGTAAGCCAAACTTAACCATGTGTGGCATCAGGATAGGAGAATATTCGTAGGTTAGTAGTATTCGATGAGAAGTATCTTCGATGCATCGCTTTTGTATTTTAAGATCTCTTTGTGAGCATTACTGAGGTTAGGGTTAGGATACTAGGTGACAATGACAATTCAATTGATGGAATAGTAAATCTTCATCAACTGAGGTTGTTGGAACATGTGTTACGTATGCGCAATCACTGCCTACCTCAACAGGCGTTGGTGTCTGGTATAGGGATAGACTGGATAAAATCTAAGGGCGCCCAATCTAAAATATCGCACCCATCTATGAAGTCATTGACAATCGAACTGAGCTCATGTTACTGGATGTAGACTACCTGATTGGTATCTGCGTGATTATGGTAACCGATTTTTGGAGACTTCAGGTTTTACAGGTCAAAACCGTTTATTATAGCACAGATGCATTTACCTCTGGTCTGCCTCTATAATCTAACTCCCCAAATCTCACTTAGCCTTTATGTCGTTTTGTATACACAATTTTTTTTTATCACTTCGGATAATATTACTACTTCTACTACTCTGGAAATTTGCCTTAAAATAATCTCTTCTCACTGTGCTTATGTAGTATGGTAGATTGAAGCGATTCACATATATATCAGGTTATGTATTACATATGACTGCGACTAATCATTGAAAAAATTAACTGGCATTGTCTTAGTTTGAGATGACCTACAAAATGAACAGGTTCCAAACATTCTCTATAGCTTTTATACAATTTACTTTGGATTTTATTACAAAAACCTTTATTGGTACTTGGGGGTGGTTATATTATAAAATTGCAATATTTCTAATTACTTTTATTTTCTCAATAAATACATATTAGTGTTCGTCATTATCGACGTCTTAAACGACAATTGCATACAATTTGTCCTGATTCATTACACTATTGTGGTAAATCTGAACAATGTTGTCTTTCTAATAAATTTGGTTATACTTGCACACCGAATGAGGTATGTTCTTTTTTTGTATTTTTATTCCGAATTAATTATCATTGTAATTTTTATTAATTATTGTTATGTTGCACAGTGAAAGGTTTTTAGCTGACGAAAGAAATTACTATGAATTTAAGTATCTAGAGTGATTTGTGAAATTAAGTTTGATTATATACATTCGCTATTCATCCTCTCAATTTGGGAAGCAACACCACCACTGTGAGAAAGCAGTGACCATATGGGAGAATTTTGAGAGGGAGAGCGGATTTTCCTCACCGTCGGCCGTACTAGGATATTTGGGGGTGGATGTCCGGCATTTTAACCGGGTTGGTGGATATGAAGGGTTCATTTAGGGAAGTTGGAAAACCCTGATTTTTAAACTAATGATGAACATGAGCTCCAGAATCCTGATGTCACCAGCTACCATAGGATTGGATCTCTTGACGTTGCTCCACTGTCTTTTGGATTTGACCTCTAGGTGAAAGGCTCGAGGAATGTGGCCCCCTAAGGAAATCACTTTCTTCGTTTCGGACCCGCGAGTAATATTTCAGGTCTTACACAAATCGAATGATTCATGTGCTGCATATACATTTGGTACCTCCTTGTACCAATGTTTATCGATTTAAATAAATAATTGGGACTGATTACAGACCGTGTTAAAGTCATCAAAACAGATATGTTGAATAAATTATTATGAATTTAAGTATGTTTAAAATTCAATATTATGTTACTTGTATATGTGTTTATTTATTGTTACACATATATTTTCATTACATAAAATGTTATCTTCATATAAATAGCATTAGGAAAACTAATTGATCATTGTTGTTAGAATGGGGATTTGTGGAGATTGTATTAATTTTAATAATTGAATTGATGAATCGATCTAAGCTAGACCACCAGTAAAGATCTGGACGCACTTAAGAGAGCACTTTGGATGCTTCCAGGTTTTCAATGATGGTGTAGCTTAGATTGACTCATGAATTCAACTAATAAGATGATTGTTGTTCTATGTTGTTATCTTCTAATTGTCTTCGACATTTTTTTGTTCCATTTTTTCAGTCCATATGTTGTGAATCTAGTATGAATACTTATTGTCCAATATCCAAGGATTGTTCTCTAGATGGGAAATTCTGTGTTGATAAGTATTAGTTTCATTATCATCATAGTTATTTATGATTGGATGATTATCATTCTATGTGTTTATGTGTGTGTGTGTGTTTATGGATTACTACAAATCTTGCCATTATTATAAATTTGGATTTGTAACATCTATTATCCATGTTACTATTTGTGATTCTATTCAATATAAATTCCATTTTCATTATAATTACTGTTCAATATTTTTCTATTGTTAAGATATTTTCATCTCTTTATTAAATAAATTTCATTTCGTGCTATTATTAACATTGAATGTGCTCTTTTACACTTGATCTGTAATTGGTTTTATACTACAATGTAACAGTGATAAGTGAAGTTGATTTCATATGTGAATTTACATTCAGTTGACTAGTCTCGGTTACTTACTTACTTACGCCTGTTACTCCTCGTGGAGTAGCATAGACCGCCCACCAGCACCTTCCATTCAACCTTGTCCTGGGCAATCCTTTCCAATTGTTATTCATCCTTTTCATATCTGCTTCCATTTCCCGATGTTATGTGTTCTTCAGCCTTCCTCTTTTTCACCTTCCCTCAGGATTCCAAGTTGGGGCTTGCCTCGTGATGCAGTTTGACGATTTGCGTAATGTGTGTCCTATCTAGTTTCATCGGCTTTTCCTAATTTCCTCTTCAACTGGAAGCTGGTTTGTTCTCTCCCACAGTAGGCTGTTGTTGATGGTATCCGGCGAACGAATATTGAGTATCTTGCGTAGTCAACTGTTTATAACTACTTGTACCTTCTTGATGATGGTTGTTGTGTTTCTCTAAGTCTCAGCTCCGCGCGGTAGAACTGTGTTGGCGTTCGTATTTAAGATTGATTATTCTCTAAAATATAAAAAATTCCTAGATTATCATTTTTTAGTTACTTTTTGTTATTTACATCTGTTAATTCTATTAAAACATTCAACTACACAATTGGAATACACATGAAACAGGCTTTAAAATAATATGTAGAGAATGGTTTAATCACTAACGAATATATATCAGTTGGTTACAAATCTCAAGTTGTGAAGTATCTATGGTGATTAATGCGTCTATATGTCTGGAAAGAGAAAGGCTTCTTATAGTAACTACATAAAAATTGATACAACATACAATAGCGAAAATGACCACCAGTAACTATGTCTAATATTAACGAAAATTTATCAACAATCAAAGTACGTGCAAACTATGATTTTGATTAAGATCATGAACCGATTGATGTTACACCAGCATTGGAAACTAAGAGCCATACAAATAAAGGGGTTTTTCACGTTTGACCAAAGATACAAGAAAAATTTTTTTTAAAACTAGAAATAATTGTTATAAGGGTTAAGAGGAAGTAGTTATAATGCATTATACACCAATTGTTATTAGTTCATGTAAATACTTGGCGATGTTACGCAACGGTAAATGAAAGCTACATTATAAATTGCTAGAAATGGGACTACCTACTGAATAATAATAAGTAGTAGGAATCAATATACGGTCGGCAGGAGAATAATGAATGAAAATATCCGTCATTAGCTGAAATGTAGAACTGACCTTTCAGATAATGATCCGTTTAAATTGTACAGTAGTATATTTTATCATTTTTGTTCACATTATGTTTAAGTTGCTCATAGTGATTATCAGATAAACACAACTGTATAAGAAGAAATGTTCTGTTTTATTTGAGATCCACCTGAACGAAAGTACACTGGAACAGTAAAGTTGCGTTTGGTAGGATTGTCGACTTCATAGTCTAGCACGAGTGTGTGTTGACTCAAGTTGTCCTACTGCTTTAACACGACAAGGTGATGGGCAAGAGAATCGAAATGATGTAGTTGCAATGGTAATGAGAAATACTGAACTTTGAGAATATGTTCTGAGAAAAATGACGGGAAAGGTATGTGTGAAGGAATACTGGAATTGAAGGTCGAGAGGAGGATAAAGAGTATATGGCACCTCACCATTGTGGTTGATTTAGAGACATGTCACACATTATCTCTAACCACTGATAGGGGTTGATTCGCGTACCACAATTAGGTAATCGGGATCTATCTGCTAGGCTCAGACCAAAAATTAATAGTCTTCATATAACCGTCAAGATAACGAATGATTTTGCTTTATTATAATTACCGGTACACTATGGTCCGCTACAATATAGAGAGTTACTGCATACGTCACTGTTCTTCCGCTTTGGCGCGGAATCACATCCGCGTACAGCCTACATATGACGTGCTCTGTCATTACCAACATATACTGATTCCCATTAGACGTTTTATATCATATTGATTACTATGAAGATGACACAGGTATTCAGTGTTTGACAACGCTTTTACCAGTAACACAATATAACTCGTACCCACCAAGAGAAATCAAAAGATAGAATCGAGGAGATCAGAAGTTGTATTTGACGGCTGCCAATATTTCGGGATTGTCTGATCTAGTCTGGCTAGCGATTGCAGTAGACGTTGAGCACAGCGTTCCCACACGTGATCTGGTGCGGATGCATGACCGAGCGCCTTCAGCTAGATGAACCCATTAAATCTAATGTGGTCAGCATCCAATATGGAAGACTTACAAACAGAGTTATTGATTTTGGAGATTTATTACAAAATAATCACAAGCCGATAACTGTCGAGTGACAAGTAACACTCGATAGAAGTTTCGTGTTAATTCATGACTCCTCGTCAATGGATATCAGATTATCACTTCATTTAAGAATAGGTGTAGTGCATATAATCTTTACGACTAGATGACAGGAATACGAACTATATGTGATCTACTACGTAAGCTGAGACAGATATGGTCAATACTATAGGAGATCATAGGCTTCTCTCTTCATATTCATACAAGTAAAAAGAAGATGGTTGTTCAAATATCTTTATTTATATCAATGTTTGTGGATAATTGTTTGTATGAATCGGACTTGTAAATCGTCAAAATATTCGACAGAGACAATATAAATTAAATCAGAGGATAATTAGAAATCCGAAACTGAATTCATTTAGCTATCATCAGGTATATTCCAGTAGAATAAATCTACCAGTCAGTATACAAAATGTTAAACAGAGAACAGATGACGAAGAGAAGACAGAAATCAAAGTAGGCATGTGGATATTAGTATTGGATTTATGCACAATAATCAATCAGATTAGATGTCAATAGATTAAGCTATTAATCACTTGCACAAGAATGTAACTAACTCACCACATTCTTAAATATATGTTCCTGATGATGTTGTCCAGAAGGACAATGAAGTATTCACAATCAAATTGTCAAACTCACAAGATGAACATTCTTCTCTCTTACATTTTAAATATAATACCATTTGTAATCAAATCCCTACAAATTGTATGGTGATGCAATTGTAGCTGTAAATAAATCTCCAAAATCAATAACTGTTTGTAAGTCTTCCATATTGGATGTTGACCACATTAGTTTTAATTGACTCATCTACCTGAAAGCGCTCGGTCATGCATCTGCACCAGATCATGAGTGGGAACGCCGTGCTCAACTTCTCCTGCAATCGCTAGCCAGATTATATCAGATGATCTATATATTGATAGTCCATCAAATATATCTTCGAACCTGCTTGCTTTTGACTCTTGATTTCACTAGTTGGATACGATTCATATTAGAAGGTGTTACTGGTTAAAAAGTTGTCAAACTCCGAATACCTGTAGCATGTTCACAGTAAAGTTTGTCCTGCATTGTCTATGATAATTCAAAAGAGTGAAATTCACTACCTATCGCTTTTTGTACAAACAGACGAGTGGAATCATTTCATAACATATTTAAATGTTCCTTGTGGGAGTTTTTTTTAGCCAAAATGATTTCTGAATGTTTCAAACCTTGGAAAATGTTTCTCTCACTTATAATTCTTTCGTTGTTTTCCATTCGAAAACCTTAATTTCTGTGTTCACGCACAATGTTTCCTAACTTTACACATTATATAAGTAGTATGTATCACCGATCGAAAGTAAAATGCCTGTAGGTAGAAAGTTGAGAAAATCGAAAAGAGGACAAGAACAGTGATCAATTGGTATAGAAATGAAGGAACAACAAATTTTGAGAAAGTTGATGGACATTTTACAAATGAGTTATTTACTGTATGGTTCTCAGATTTAAACATGGCTAACAATGGAATCCAGGACAACAGTCACTTTGTCGTATTTGGGACTTCTTAGCTAGATGTACCTGCATCGCAGAGTTGATCTTCACTCCAGAACTCGAACCCAGTATCATTCACTTTAAACGTCATAGCGTTATCCAATTGGCTACTGAGTCTCAGATTTTACTATAACACTCTGTAATTTTGTACTGAGATGATGGAAAGAAAAGTCCAAATTCGATTGATTTATCGATTATGATTTTTATTCAACATTAATTCCATTTTGATTGAATGTAATGATTATTCAATGGAGTATTTGTTACTGTTATCCCAGTATGATATTTTCTTCTGTATAATATGCGAGATATTCTTGTATTCCATTGACATGAACTATACTCAGTATGTGATTTGTTATAACTGAGTGTGTGATGTAATCCTAATGATCAATCAAAATAGATGTACAATCAATATATAAATGAGTGTAGTTTCGACTAGAGTTGTCGTCGTTGTTGTTGTGTTTTGGGGATTAATGAATCTTCACATATACCAGCCTTTGTATTTTTACTTTCGCGTCGTGGGAATCGCAGAGGTTCCTCGTTCCGAGTATAAATGATAAGCATTTCCGACATAACAATCATCGACGACCAGATATAACAAGTAGCATTCAATTCAAAAGTTATAACGATTGGCAACGGGGATTTCGGAAAACATTGATAAGTTATAACAGTACACTAATGCATTTGGTTATCCCTAATTGTGTTCTCGTTTATTATATGACAGTTAAAGACGTTGCTTTTTTTTTTAGTGATTCGTTACTTTACGTGATTCTTCAACCTGCATATCCAAATTAAAATTCCAGAATGTCTATGACAAATTATTATTTGAGCAACAATCTAATTTTGGGTATGTTAAAGTA